GGAAAGGCGGTCAAAGACAAACTAACAAATATATAAAGAAACTCAAGACCTCTCAGCATGTGTGACGTGTTTCATAAAATAGCACAATTATATTGCGGATTTTATTACAAATAGTACATCATAAAACTACTTAACCCTTACTGCAATAACGTCGATCACATCGATCACCAATTTCGAGTTTAAAAGTGCCCCGTGCCAAACTGATCGACTTGTTTTGAAATTAATCATAAGGTTTACCAGATAGGCCTGAAACAAAAAGGATTAAAATTAAAGTGACATACAGAAACTTGGGCTGGGTCCCCTATTCGCTATATTTACCAAAACTGATATTATAAGATTAAAAGGCGTAAAAAAACTTTTCGAAATCACTACTTGTTTTTTAAAATCAGAATAGTCTGCTGGAACTTACCGACGTTTGAAGTTGGATGCGACGGCTCAAATGATAAAAATTCAAGCTCTTGTTAATAGAGAGCCCGTTGGTCGCGGGCCAAAAGATTTGGGCAATGATTTTACTTTTAATAGTACTACAATTTGTGGAAATTTCAGCATGATCGAAAACTTTGAAAATTTGGATGGATTACTTCATAAATAATGTAATACAGTAAACTTAAAAAGCTCCAAAAAATGAATAAAACTTAATAAATGGAGAAATGGCAATTATAAATATGGGGCGCAAATACTTATTTATTTACATCAATAGTAAACCGCGAACGTTTCGGTCCTTTTTTTGGACCATCTTCAGCGCATAAGAAATTAAAAATTATATAAGAATTCGATATTAAAAGCGGAAATTAATGACAATCGCAAACATATCGGAATGTATGAATAAATAGAATAAATAAATAAATAATAAAACTGTCATTATAGTCTAAGTAAAATTAAAACTGTTATCATGGTAAAATGTCGAAAATTAACAAAGAAATTTCCGTATCGGAAGCCTTCTCGAGTAGTCCATCCTAAACCACTACGCCTAAGCAGCCCCCTCTTCTGCTCCCAATTAATAATACGATCTTCCACCGGCACCACATGGTGGATCTAGTGGACAGATTACCAGCACTTACGTTGGCGCAGATGTACACCGCAGAGTGAAGCGAGGGAGGGATTTAAGGCGGGAGGAGGCACGAACCAAGCATCCATCTCCTCCATCACTCATAATCCATTAGACATGTCCCTTTATGGTTGGATGACCGTGGAGTAGGACGTAAGATAGGATAAAATCCATCGTTAAGGTTCATAAAGATAGCCTTTTAAAAATGTCTCATACCAACGTTGTTTATAAGTTAAATTGCAACGACTGCGATGCCTCTTATATAGGCCAGACTTGTCGAAGATTGCGGACTAGAATCAATGAACACCGTAATCACATACGACGGAATGCATCTAATCACTCAGTCATTACTGACCATCGATTAGATTGCAGTCACGATTTTCAATGAGACAGCGTTGAGATCTTGGACAACGAGCCTTTCCTGAATAAACGTCTAATATCAGAGATGTTGTTTATAAAACGCCAAAAAAATAGCTTGAATCTACAGACAGATACCGAATGCTTGCATCATACGTATGCTAATGCCATAGACAAACTTTCAAAAATTTAATTTCCGCTCTTTTCAGATACATACATATATTTGTACACAACCCGCTTCACATATTTTTGTATTTATTTATTAACTTTCACCTAGCTATTTCGGATCGTTGAAACACGTCACACATGTTGAGAGGTCTTGAGTTTATTTATATGTTTGTTAGTTTGACTTTGACCATCTTTCCGTGCAGTTAGTCAAAGATTTTATTTAGTTTTTTGACTTAGATTTTTAATTTTTAATTTTACTTAATTTATTCGTAATTATTTAATTGTTTTAATGTCTGACATGTGTCACGGTTCACTTGAACGTGCGGGTTCGATAGTGCTCGATTTGTAAGTGTGTTTGTGTTGATGTTCTTATCTATTGAAACGTGTTGCTCTGAATATTAACCGTTTTAGATATCGACATGAGTTTTACCTCATTTTGGATCTTAACGATGGATTTTATCCTATCTTACGTCTTACTCCACGGTCATCCAACCATGAAGGGACACATCTAATGGATTATGAGTACCGACACGGAGATTTCTTTGTTAATTTTCGACATTTACCATGATGACAGTTTTAATTTTACTTAGACTATAATGACAGTTTTATTATTTATTTATTTATTCTATTTATTCATACATTCCGATATGTTTGCGATTGTCATTAATTTCCGCTTTTAATATCGAATTCTTATATAATTTTTAATTTCTTATGCGCTGAAGATGGTCCAAAAAAAGGACCGAAACATTCGCGGTTTTGTAATTGATGTAAATAAATAAGTATTTGCGCCCCATATCTGCGCCGGCTCCTAATTACCATTTTTTCCATTTATTAAGTTTTATTAATAAATAATGCCTCCTATATAAGATACGTGTGTAATTTTCCACTTCTCTTCCACTTTTCTTAAGAAGTGCTGCCCCAATGATATAAATATCAGACCACTGTTTAATAACAATTTTAGGAATATCATTCTCTCGTCATAGATATTTATGAAAACATTTTTTGTTGGTAAACATAGAAATATAAGTAAAATAAAATCAGAACTCTCTTTCTTTTTATGTTGTGTAAAATTATACTAATTTATGTAAATTTGATATATTGATACTTATAATATTTTAATTTTTTTTATTTTATGTAAGGATAATTTTATTATATTACCCCTCTCCCCCTGCCTATTACGTTATTAGAAAAAAGTTATTGTATAGAATACAGACAATTATATTCTTGTTAATTTATATAACTCGTATATTGTGATTTTTATTTATATTTTATACATATTGTCTATATGTATATTCTTATCTTTATTTGCCTTGCGCGAATTACTCCTAAAATATAATTATCAAGCAATTCTCTTGCTTGAAATAAGATTATTTTACTATTCGTAATAAAAAGTTTTTAATCTTAAGGAAAAAAAGTAACTATTGTCTTTATGATTTTCAATTTATGATATTCGATCATATCCTTAAAATATGTTCGTCACAACTTCACGCGACTTAAATAATTTACCTTATTATATTATGCTTTACATTAAAAAGCATGTTCTAATTATATTATTATTTATTTATATAATTTATAATATATAAATATCTTTCACAAAAATGCAATACAGTCTATATATAAAACAGTATACAATTAGTCGGCAAATTGTTTTTTGTTAACAAAACAAAAAATGCAGAACACTATTTTTTTTAAATAACTTTCGATAAAAGTTAATTTTATACAAATAACACAGTTCAACGAACAAAAAAACACCGAGACGGGACTATCCGTTTCTTATAGGTTTTTGGACGCTGAACACCAATCCGGTTGTGAAATTGCTCCATCACGTCAGAACTTTGAGAAATTTGCAATTAAAGTTGCAAAAATGGGCTATTTTCACGAACTTTGTCATATTATAGCTACAATGTGTGACGTGCTGGAGAAGTTTTATTACAATCAAAATAAAGTATGTTGTTAGGACTTTCAACACTTAAAAGGAATATTTGGTGTCGGTTATGAAAATATCCATGGTTAAATATAGGGTGTATTGCAGAAATTAGCTGTGACTTAGGTCATTGACGATTTAGCAGACAGCTTTCAATTATATTTATTTAAACTTAAGAGTTTTTTAGATCGCTGAATACGAATTCAATGTCAAAATTATCAAATTCTAAATGGTGGACTTAATATGGCGGGTGCCAAACCTTAAAAAATGTTAGATTGCAATCTAAACATTTGACTCCACCATTTTGAATTTGACAATTTTGACATTAGATTCGTAGCGACCTAAAAAACTCTTAAGGTAAATGTTCAGATTAACTTACACCTCACGGATCATTTTCATTTTTACATATATTATAGAGGGCACATTTCTAAGTAACACGCACTTTGAATTTTGTGGCGCTCTCTTCTGGTTTCGGAGATATGCGATTTTGAAGTATCATAATTTTCGCATTTATTTCTATGATCTTTTCACTATATCTTACTTGCGTGTTTATGTTTTTTTGTTTACATTTGCATCATTGTCAGTATATTTTCGCTAAGAATTTTTTTTGTTTACATTTAGATGATGCGTATACTTTTTAATGCAAAATAAGGTTTCACATGGGTTTACAACTTTCCATTTTATATTTACGCATTGAAAAATATATGCGTGGAGACAGTATGTTCCGCCTCCCCCCTGCGGGGAGGTTCCACTATTAAAAAACTAGACACATAAGTTCGCGTTGAACCTCGCTTCGCGTGGAAAATGGAAAAATTCAAGGAGCATCGTTTCCAGAAATGTAAACAAACACTTTTCCCACGTCTGCTTTACACAAATATAACGTAAACAAACTTTATTTTTTCTTATTTTATAACAGAAAAAGTATTAAAACTGTGAAACTTTAAAATTGCATATCTCTGGAACCAGAAGAGAGCGCCACAAAATTCAAAGTGCGTATTACTTAGGAATGTGCCCTCTATAATATATGTGAAAATGAAAACGATCCGTGAGGTGTAAGTTAATCTGAACATTTACCGAAACGGGTATTCCGATTCCGGTGTTCGAAAAAAGTCATTTTTTGTTGAACAGTGTAATATATAAAAAAGAAGAAGTAGCGATCTTACCTTTTTTAAAGATCATTGAAAACTGACGAATTTCATATATCTGGCACATCCTAAATAACTTATAAATAAATTCTAAGGTCGTTAATGATTCCTGAATGTTAGTTTATAAACACAATCAAGTCTCGATATATAATCAAATAAATCCACATTATTCTTTCAGGTTTAACGTATTTTTCCTCGTAATATAAATATAAATTGCAATTTTAGATAAAAATATAAGTCGAAATTTTGCATTTATTGTTAAATAACTTTAGACCATTGCTTGACTCGATATTCATCCCATAAGACAAATCAAACATTTATGTTTGCGAAAAGGTATGAAAGAATAAAAAAATGCTTATTTTTAGGCTAAAGCAGAATGTCCATATATTTATTTCTTAACATAGCTTTACATCAATACGTAAATGCAAAACAACATTTTATTACCATCGACAATAAAAGATAAATTAGATCCGATTATTTGATCGCGCAACGTTTAGCTTCGTCTGTTTTATGATAAAACGGAAAAACTTTTGTTCTCTACGAAACATTTCAACAAATTGGCTCCTTTTGCGCAACCCTCTCCAGCTGAAATAGTAATTATTTTACTCTAATTCCATTTGAAAAGAATGCTTATAATATCGCAAAATTTTACGTAATTTTGCAAACGAATGAAAGTCGATTTTATATCCCCAAATCAGTATTGAACTTACCAACGTTTTGGCAATTATTGTATATGCGATCGGTTTGTTCTTGTGGTACACCGGATGGTACTTTTGCACGAGCTACTTCCCAGTCAATATCTCCATTCGCATTTATCTAGAGCATGCGTAAAAATAAATTGGTTACTTAACTATTAATTAATGCACTTTGACATGATGAAACTCGCTTTTGCACTTACAATTCCAATTTTCTTTAATAGACAAGTAGAAAAGCAAGCCAATTTTTCGTCACCTTCAGCTATTTCCCCCTTTTTCGCATTTTCTACGACGGCTGAAGAAATTTATTATATAGATTTTCTTTTTATTGTACATTATTAAATAATTTATTATACATATATATGTGCTTATGAATGTGTACGTTAACTATTTTATTTTATTATTCTTTGCTTACTCGGATCAACACCAGATTCATTTATACAAGATTCTTTATACTGTCTTAGTTTTGCTTTTTGTTCATCTGTGATTCCACCCTAAAATTAAATAAGCATTTACATTAATATTTGTTCATATACATATGTACACACACATACACATACACACATTTTTAAATATTTCTATGAGATGTATTTTAAATGTAGAAATATTTTAATAAATGCTAGAAACTAGATTAAAAAAGAATCAATAAATTAAAAAATTAAAGAGCAAATCAAGTTTCAAAATTATATGTATATAATCATAAGCAGTTGCACACGACTGCAGCAAACGATAAAAATTAAATAATTAAAAACGAGTTACATATTGTAATATAAAGTGTCTCTAACAATAAGTAAAAGTCGTTAAGAGATAAATGGTAAGGAATACAAGAAAAAACATAATAAGACTTTCTTTATATTTTTTATCTAAAATTTAGATAATAATCTAAAGATAATGCATATGCAATAATAATTTGAATCTATAAATAATGCAAAAAAATTTTGTTTGATTTTTCCAAAATTATATTAAAGTTATTTTCTATTTTTTAAATGAAACATTGGGTGTTTCACAATCTCCGTACAATACTTTAATGTTGTATTCTAGAGATAAAATAGAATCGAAAATTTTAATACAAAAATTTTGAAACTGCAATAGTTTTTGAATTATAAGCGATCAAAGTTTTCCAATGATATCGCATAGAGATCCGTAGAGATCCGTAGAGATCTTACGCGCTCAGATCCGTAACTACACATACACGCGTACCGATCTGTCATCTGTTATTGATTTTACAAATCGGATAATATTTATTTTTACTGCACAACTGATTTTATTGTTTCTTATGTGTATGAGTACTATGTACGGCGGTCAGCTGATATTAATGAATTATAAATGTTGTATGTAAAATATCTAATTTTTTCTTAAATAACGATTTAAATGGTTGATTAATTATTATATTTAAATAGAATTAATATTTTCACACATTTAAGAAACGAAGTTTATTTTTGTTTTGATCGTGCGGAAAAGTTTTATGGAAATCAATTTATTTATTTTATCTGTCAGCAATAACAGATGACAAATCAGTACATGTATAAATGCAGTTATGAGCCTAAGCGCGCGAATTGTACGCAATATTATTGGCAAACTTTGATCACTTATAACCCAAAAACCATTATGGCCTCAAAATTTTTGTATTAGAATTTTTGATTATTTTATCTCTAGAATTAAAGTATTATAAACATCATTAAAGTATTGTACGGAGATTGTGAGACACCCTGAATATATATTGTGACGTGACGTTTTTGGGACGTCCGTCACAAGGGTCGAATGACCCGATCGGGGGCGGTTTTTCGGGGGACTGCGTCCTCTCTATTTAGGGAGAGAGCGGCCCAATCGTCGGATCGACGAAATCCGACTTTTGGTAGTAATATTTATCGAAACTGTAAGCTCGAAATGAGCCCGCGAAATTGTTGTCGGCGCGAGGTCGAGCGGCGGGATCCCATCCGGCAGAGAGGAAGGAAGAAGGAAGAGGAGCGGCCGAGGGCGGGAGTCCGAGACTTTCAAGGAGCGAGAGACGTCAGGTCGTAGTTTTTTTTATTAACTACATTCTTGGTGGCTAACACACATCGCTGCCGATAATTTTGTATTATTACGACAGGAACAGAGGCGAAGGGCCGGAAGGACCCGGCCGAAGGGACGGCCACTCCACCCGCGCGAAGCGAGGGAGTCCCAAGGACGGAGCGGCGAGAGGACTCTCGACCATGGACCTATTCTACAAGATAGGAAAGAGAGCCGATCGGACGCTGCCGGAATTCCGCATCTGCCAGTCAAGCAGCCATCGAATTTAGAAATTTCGGGGCGGTGAGCCCACCGATACGGCCGTGACGACCACAAGGATCGCAAGGATCGCAGGACGGCCCTGCGTAATGCGAAAGCGCCACAAGTGGCGCGATAGCGATTTATCGCGCCGGCGTGTCTCCTACAGGACTCTCGCTCGGCACTGTTCGGCGAGATAGCAAGAAGGACGCAGGTCTCGTAGAGCGGATCCGAATTATCGAACACGAAGGACGATCGAAAGCTTCCGACCGGTGGGACGAGTGTCGTCGACCGATTTTGTTGCCGAATAATTTTTGTGATATACGGACTTTCGCGGGATATCGAGACCGATATTTGAAATACGCGCCGAAGGTGTGCCGTGGACACCGAGAACCGCCCATCGAACAAATAATTATTATTTAAATAATTAACCAAAGAAATTACGGTTACAATATATATATACATATATACATATATGTATTGTATATGTATTATGTCAAAAAATCACAAAAATAACAAATTTAATAGATATTTTTGAAGTGATCTTGGTGCAATCCAAAGTTACATAAATGGAGAAATTGTTGAAACAGATAAAAATCGCGATCACTATTATACACTTTATTTATTTTATTTATTGTCCTTGTAAATAAATAATTATGTCACCAAATATGTGTATTTTTTAACAAAGTTGTATTTAGCGAGCGATTTTTAAAAGTGACAACTGTCATAATATGCATCTATTGTGCTAAAAGGAATCACATTGGATTATTACAGTTATCAACATTTAGATTATTAGAGAATTAAGGTAGTTGTCTCGCGACAGTACAATCCAAAATTTTATACTCTGAGCCAACGTTAAAACCACAGATTTCTATATAATATATTAGACCATTAGACTGCTAACACGGCTTTATTTTATATAGAAACATGTGAAGCCAGGGCAGTCATTTACAATTGGGCAGAATATCGATATGAATTCGATATTCGATCGATTCATGTCATTCAAACGTCATTCATCCATTTTTTAAACGTACTAGCACAATACAACGCGCGCTTTGCGCGCGCTATTTATTCTTTTTCATTAAACATTTTTAACGATATATACACAAAATAACTGTCAAAATATGCAATGACAGCCGCTCACGAAGTAAGCGCAATGACAGAACCAATCAGCATCGCGGAAAAGAGACAACAATACACTTCGAGACTTTCGAGAATCGACTTAACATGCCTTTTTTACGGAGGGATACGTTTAAAACATTTTAGAAAGTAAAAATAAACTAAAAATATCAAATCTATATATAGTGCACATATAAAAATAAAAATGCTAATGATTTGTAGCATACTTGGCTGTTCAAGTAGATATTCTAAAGAAAGAAATATCAATTTTCTTCAGTAAACACACACACACACACACACACACACACACACACACACACACACACACACACACACACACACACACACACACACACACACACACACACACACACACACACACACACACACACACACACACACACACACACACACACACACACACACACACACACACACACACACACACACACACACACACACACACACACACACACACACACACACACACACACACACACACACACACACACACACACACACACACACACACACACACACACACACACACACACACACACACACACACACACACACACACACACACACACACACACACACACACACACACACACACACACACACACACACACACACACACACACACACACACACACACACACACACACACACACACACACACACACACACACACACACACACACACACACACACACACACACACACACACACACACACACACACACACACACACACACACACACACACACACACACACACACACATATAACCTGTTTCTCTTATCTTTTTAGAAACTAATTATTTCTATGTGTTATTAAATATGCATCAAATATTTATAAATCAACACTTTCATATGAAATATTGCAGCTTTCCCTTCAAAGATAAAAATTGATTAATAGCCTGGTTGGATGCGATAAAAAGACAAAATTGTACTCCCAGTAGATACGCTACAATCTGTAATGAACATTTTACTGCAAATGATTATTTTCGTGGTCCAGAGATTCAGAAGACATTTTTAAAACTAACAGCAAATATATATAAAAATTGACCAAACATTTTTTTTGCAATTTGTTGCCGGTTAGAAACTGATAAATTTCTGTTTATGACTTTTTTATGTCAGATTATTGTAAGTGCCTTAAAAATCGTGGCGACCGTTACGAGGACCACCCTGTATATAAATACAGTTTTTCACAAGTGTATGATATACTAGACTGCTAACAGCGATGTAACAGGTCAAGCTAGGGCAGCCATTTACAATTGGACAGGATATACAGGGTGTCCCAAAGCACCCTTGACAACGCTCGTGAGCAGGTAGAGCACAGTAAACTGAACAGAAAAGTCCTGTACCATTTTTTTCTATAACGCTTAATAAAGGAGTTATTATTGAGTAAAGGCTGGTTAATCAGCGCAGACTTTTAGCCGGACGCACGTCAGTGAGCCGCCCG